ATATATATCCAAAAATTTATAAATGTCTACAAACCGAAATTTATCTCGCATTTGAGTTATTGCAACATCACACTTTAGTCTGGCAAGGCAAAGTATTTTCGTTAACACTATTATTTTCAACTGTCATTTACAGACTGACTAGTTTGAGAAAAATTCCGATCGTATTATTGATTTTAATACTTTTATCCCAATTCGTTTGATTTACTAGATCTTCGTTATGTAATCCGATAATTCGTTGCATAGATTGATAGCCCACATAGCTTGCTTACATAATATTTTCTTTTTTTCGAAGATGCCTTCTTGCTAACACTGAAAGTTGATGATAGTTTGAGCAATATAAAGTGAACTTTAAAACTGTGCTTGAATTGAACCGACGTTTCATTACATGGATAGCCTCTAAAAAATATTTTAAAAATGTTTGAGCAATCAAGTTATCCTTGCAAGAATCTAAAGTCTTATCGCTTAAAGAGTTTGCTTAAATAAATTGGCAGAGAAATTTTATAGAAAAGCTATGAAAATTTTTTTGAAAAAGTTTCAAATTTTCATTTTCAGTACTTTGTTTGATAGATTTGAAATTTTGCTCAGTTGACTTAAGCTATCAATTTGCTCTTTAAAAAAACCCAAGGTATAAATCTAGAGGGGATGCTTCAAACCAACTCAGCTTTCAACCAATCAAATGTTCGCCTCCAATAAAAAATTATATGGGAAAAAACTTGTGTGAATTATTGTTGTCAAAATTGATGCAATTTATAAGCCTTAACGCCCGATGTTTTTCTTAATGTTTTTCTTGATGTTGTTTTCATCAAAAATGTCCATCATAAAATTTTTAAGAAATTGTTACAATTTTTCACGGGTTTAATATGAAATTTTGATGTAAAATATGAACTCAAAAATGAAAAATACTTTATTCTTATATCAAAACCATACTTTTTGGCTTCTCCAAGAAAATTGACAGAGTCTGTTGGATATGTTGTTTTCTTGAGAAAGAAAATTATAAAGCAATAATTGATTTCATTTTTGTTCCGACTTTCGATACGAAAGTAACGGAATATTTGTGCTCGGGTGGGTTTTTTTTCTTCAGACAAACTTCGACTTTTTAACTAGCCATTTTTGACGGAATTTTTTATATCATTCAAAAAGTATTGTTGCCCTGAGCTTAAATTCCTTAAATTTGAAAAGATATTTTACCTGTGATCATTTTTCGTAAAGTTATGAGGTTTTAAAGCTTGCCATTTTGGACATTTTGACCAATTTGGGACAATTAACGCGCGATATAATTCGAGCTATTAATGCGTAAGCGGAGATTTAATCCGTCTCAGAAATCGTTCCAAATTGGGTGAACGAAGCCATATTTGATTTGTTACAGGGAACGAAATCTATCCTTTTGTACTTTATATGGCGTGTGGGGGGATGATTTTCATTTTAAAAAAATTCAAATTTTAGAAAAAAAAATTCATTTTATTTTATTTCATTTCATTTCTTAAAGTTATTACTGCTCCATAAACCTTAAAAGGCAGTCGGAACATTCAGGGCTTCGCCCTGATACAAGCAGTCTTGTTAATTTTGAATATCTGAGTATGCTAACATTTTAAGAACTGAGATCCTGTATAATAAATAGTAAACGAATGAAGTAATCTGAAAAGGAAAAATCTTACCTTTCGTTAGTATCACTTATGTTTTTGTTGATTATGTTTTCAGTGGTTTTAAAGCTCAGTGACCATAAAAGTAGAAACGTCGCAAAATGAGAGCATCATTTTACGTTCAACACAGATTTTTAAACTAAACAGATACAGAGTGTAATGAAAAATTTCAATCACTAAATGCTCTCTAAAATTGATTTTCCCGAAAAAACTGAAACTCATTGAGTTCTAAAGTGACGTATATTGTAATAAAAACTCCTTGCCCAAAAAAATCAAGGGTATCGAGTTCGGATACGAGTCTTTTTCCTACTTACACTACGAGCTTGTGAGCGTACTGTATTAGTATAACTTTCTTTTTTTTTCCAACCTAACCAAATAAAAGTGCTAATTTGAGGGCGCTTTTGCTATAATCACGATCTGTAGAATTAGAAATTTCATACTATCAAAAGTTTCTGTTTTATTTCTGGCTAGTCTTGGACAATTTTGAAGCGTTCGTGACTGAGAAGTTAGGGTGTGGGATGCTTAATCTTTAGGTTGCAGATTTGGATCGTGGCAATGTTTTTTTCTCTAACCCCAAGTTTGTTTCTACTTTTTCCTATTTCACTCTGAAAAGCTGCTTCGTGTCGTGTTTTCGCTAGTGTTTGTGAAGAGCAGCTTCGCCTCCGCGTAAAAAACATTTTCACGGCATTCACTAATAAGATAACATTGGTTTTATTTGGTGGCGTCCCTCATGGTGGAAGAACCGAATGCTTGAAATTTATTTTGGCTTTTTGGGGCTTTACAACAATACCGAATTACAACAGTGCCGAAAAAAAATAGTTCAGCAGTGCGGAAAATAAAAACTTTGTTCAACAGAGCCGAAAATATGAAAAAATTTCAACATATTAAGTGCAGCAATGAAAAATTTAACGGCGAACGGTTACATCTTAAGTGACACTTAAAGGTTACGTAGCAGTATTCAGAGAACCGCGTATTCCTACTCGTCAGTAAGCAGACAAACACTGTATTAACCAATCAGAATCGAGACAAGGAAGAAATTATTAAATAATAATTAATTATTTCGAAAGTTCGCTTTCCGATCTCGATTCTGATTGGTTAATACAGTATTTGTCTGCTTACTGACGAGTAGGATTACGTGGTTGTCTAAAGACAGACCACACTTCCACTTAAAGTTTTTGAGAGAGAAAATTTGCAATTTAGACGGTTTGGGGCCAAAATAATTGTTTAATTTGCAGTTGCAGACATTTTGGCGCCGAAATTGGACCGATTTTCTATGATAATTAGCGCCAGTAATTTCCCGCTCTTTAGAAAATGTATGTAAATTATTCTGAAATTTTTCCTCCTTTTTCGGAACTGTTGTACTTCGGAACTGTTGAACGCCCCCCTTATTTTCAGCCAATCACAATTGAGTATTCAAAAATCTCAGGTAAATTGCGAAAATTGCCAAGTAAGCAAGTAAATCCAGGCCATTATTGTTGATATTGCCCGATTAGAAAATAAGCAGATGAATGAAAAATTCGGATCAAAGGCAGATGGGAACAAATTTAATATTTTAAGAACACAGATTTACGAAAAATGGAAAAACAAGAAACTAATTGGATGATATCTACACCTATTATATCTGCATCTATTATACTTATTATATTAATATTTTTTATTAATATTGACTTCAATTTTATGAGAAAGGCATTTAGGCAATAGGAACACTTAGAGATTTTGATTGCTCGAAATTTTTCCAGCATTCCGTCCCTCCAGCATTCGGTCCCTCCAGCATTTTATTTTAGCTTCAAATTCAAGGAACAAATCTTCCATTTAACGTAAGACAATGCCGATGCTTGGATTGACCAAAACATGATATACAAATCCAAGCAAGCAAGACCTGGACTTTTTACATACTTTTTTTTATTCGCGCTCAAAGATCTAGCTAGGATTCGTCTTGTTAAAATAGTTTCCGGGCATTTTGTGGAACTTTATAATAAAACTAGAAAATGCATTTTCTCATGATTACCGATGATTTCCGACAGATGATTGTTGTCTGTTTTTGAACTCGTGAAAAACAATCCAATTACTTTTTCAAAAGAGTCTATGACAATGAATGGCTATTTATATTGAATTTTTGGTTGTGAGTTGAGTTTTGCGAAAAAAGGAATTTTGTTTGAATTTATCATTTCATCTAAGGCATTCATATTTAGTTGGCAAGCAGTGCTCGCTTCAGCTTCGCTTCTAAAAAAATCTTCAACTAATCACCTTTTTCAACTAAATGGGTTGATTGTTTTTCTCAACGTAACTAATCCCTTATTAGGCAATTTAATTCATAATTAAACGGATGTGAAGGTTTGTGGGGTATCTGGTAGTAATGGTGCCCAGTGTCCATGTGCTTACGGGTACAAATCGCGCATTTTCTGCAATTTGCAAGGTTGGCGTTCAAAAATAGCCATTGCTCATCATTATTAAGTGCGCTCAAATTCAGCCCTTATCAATTAAATTTAGCCTGTTTTTAAAACCCGTTTTTTGCCTGTGTTTTGAAAAATCTGCCTGGGGCGCAGAAATATTGGTCGAAATAGTCTTTACGATTCGGGAGATCTTAGAAATTCAATTTGATCCTCCCCTCCACTCGAGAAATTCTTAAATCCGCGACTGTAATGAAGGTTAGTTAACGTTGGCCTACATGTATTTCTATAACGCAACTTTTTCTCAGTTTTCATAAAGAGGTCAAGTTTGTTCAAAAGCATATATAGGTGAAGTTGGGGGCGGGGGCACACACTCAGGTAGACCGGTATTCAAATCTATAGGGTCCCCTTCAAGTACACTTTTTGACGCAGATTTTTGTCGTCCTTCACTCAAATTGATCAAGGCGTCGTTTGGCGCCAATAGATATTTTTATTACATTAGAAAGGCGACAGTCTTTCGAAAATGCGTAGGTTGCAAAAATTTCACAAGACTGATCTTCCAAATCAACACGTTCAGATGCCGACCCCTACAATAATGACCGAGTCGTGAGTCCGATAAGAATATCAGTCACAGCCATATGGAATGTGTCGAATATGCTTTCACGTTAATAAACATCCGAATGTTGCTGTCTTTTCAGCAAATTCCTCCAAATGCAAAACATGGTATTTCATTAAGTTTCCTAGATATAAATGAGATAAAATATTAATACACTTGAAAAACCAAAGAGGCAGCAAACGCTTTAGACTTCTCAATGTGCTGAATATACATTTTCAACCAAAATTTCTTTGCTGTGAAAGTTTCAAAATCCAGCGCTCGTCTAAAAGGTCTTGAAGGCTCAGCAAAATCAGTCCAATTATTGCACATGTTCTGATGTGATTAACTATGTCGAGGTGATTCATGTTCAAGATATTTTCGTTAAAATAAATTGAAACGTTCATAAACTTACGAGCACAAGAGTTTTATAAAATATTTCATCCAGTTCCTCAAATTAATGCATAGTGACTAAATTAAAACAGTTTCGAAGCTGACTGGTTTTTAAAATAGTCTTTGGCTTTCTCACAAAACAGCTTTGCCGGCTCGTTTCGCTTTCGGCTTCTGAGGTGACTTCGATTTCTTTGACCTCGTGGCTCCTCCGTTGAATCTTTTCGTCGCCGGAGTCATTGTCACTCGTGGCTTCTTAATCTTCTTCTTAGCATCACCTTCAGTGGTCTTGGTCGGTGCTGGAGCTTTCACTGGCTTCTTGACAACTGGAGCGCCAGATCCAGACTCGTCGGCGCTTGAAGCACTCGAGGCACTCAAAAGTGCAGTCGGTTTAGCTGCTATTTTGCTAGTCTTAACTTTCTTTGGCTGAGGTTCCTTATCGTCGGCTGGCTTCGACGACTTTTCACTGCTTGTATCCTTTTTCACGTTTTTAGGCAACTTGAATGACCCGTTAGCTCCAGTGGCACTCGACTTGGCTCGGATGATTTCGTTACTTTCAAGAAGTTTCTTCAATGTGCTGTTAAGGTTGACATTTGCTCTAGCCCCGAGAGTATATTTGTTCGTGATCAGTTTCAAAATAGCCTGTCGGCTTGATCCGCCTTTCTCGCTTAGCTCTGAGATGGCCGATTTGATCATGACATCATACTTTGGGTGCGCTGATGAAGTTACCGTCGGTTTGCTGTCGGTTTTCTTGGCTCCCGCATCGATTTTCGTCTTGGCTTCAGTCACTTTAGTTGGGGCTGCTTTGGTCGGCATTTCTAGATACGCTACTTTAGAGTTAAAAATTTGAAGTTCTGAGAACTGCAATTCGATGCCTATTGAGACGAAAGTGCGAGAGATCTCTAAGCGTTACAGCGGTGTTCTGCTGATCCAAACTTTAAATCCGAAAACATCTACTAATTAAACCAGTTAAATCTGAGTTTTTTAATGAAATCAATTGAAGATGAAGGTCAAGGTTATGATTTTAAAACATGCTTAGTTGGTAAGACACTACGGTTACCGTAATTTATGTCTTAATGTTGACGCATCTGTTTCAGAAGATGGACCAAATAAACTATCTCTTCCCCCCCCCCCCCCCTTAAGCTAAATAGGGGAGAGAGTTCACTTCATTAAATGTAATTTTTTTCAGCCAATCAGATTTGAGCATGGTATATGCAGGCCTTACTGCTTCAGTTTTTCATTTAATTTTAGGGGGAGGTTGATCGTTTGGTTTCTTTAGGGGGAGTTTGTTCGCATGGGCCACAATTTGGATTTTTCAACTTATGTCGTTTCGAACTCTTGCAATTCATCAAATATTGCAATTCATCAAATACTAAAAGTATTACTAAAAACTGTTGCACAAGGTGGAAGAGAGATTATTGCCATACAATCAAAAACCTCTTCGGTGCAAAGCTTAGATTTAAAGAATACTTGAAATGATGACATCGATTTTTAAAATAAACATGGCAGAAAAGGTAGCTATAAATTATTATGATGGCAAACTTAGAAAAGTTTCGTCTAATAGATTATGATGGCAAATAGGGAGGGGGGACCTTTTTATAGAGATAATCGTACTAAAATTGATAACTGACCGCTAGCGCATAGACCCACCCACTCACACATTGCTATAGACATGGAATGTCGATCTTAAATTTTTTCGAGGAAGGGGAAGGGGGACTCGGTTGACTAAATTGATTTTTAGAGTTCTCACAAAGCACATAAAGACTCTATTTGCAGAAGTTTGTACTGCATTAAAAAAAAAACAGACCAGAAATGCTGTCCCAACAGACCAAGAGGATTTCACCGATAAGTCACGTTTTTCGGCGCGCACTACCTGAAATTTTGGTCGCACAAACATTTTGGCACAGGATTTGGCGCAAAAAGCGCTTGCAGGAAACTTTTTGAATTGGTCGAACCGTACAGTTTTACATATCCGACTCTGTGTTCATACTCTACTATTACACCCCAAATTCTTTTGCATCGAAGTGTTACAGGCAGAGAGAGTCATTTTTTTCCTCTTACGCTGAATCAACTACATTGTAGAACATTTGGATCCAATTAACAAACAACCCCCCTATGGTGCCTTGCAACAAATTGCCCCCTCCCCCCACTATGAAGAGAGAATTGATCAGTTAAGCATTTTGAACCTTTTAATAAATTGGCCTCCTTTTTGCCACGGGAGGGGCGGGGGGTAGTAAACAAGATCCGAAAGTTCTTGTCTCATTCTATGAGGCAGAATTGGTTTGTTTGGCGATTAAAAAACTTACATTTCAAACCAAATTACTTGACTTCTGTGCATACCAACAACCTGCGCACCATAAAAGGCAGAGCTAAGCTATTTAAAAAAAACAATAAATTCCAAAATGCGAACTGCTGTTAGTTAAACTCGTTAAGCCGTATTTACTCATTGCCAAGTGCCGTTTATCTAATTTGTAATTTAATATCGTAAAGGTAGAATTGTATTTAGGAGGCCTCTTTTGAACTAGATCCAAAAGTGAGAGAACAAATAAAAGCCAGTCAAACAATCTAAAGATGACACCAATGTTTCTGCTTGGATTGAAGAGCACACGTGTTTGCGGAACTCCCCGAGATACCATTATTGGAATTAAGGCATGTTAGAATCCGGAAAGTAGGCCAAAAAATAAGCCAGATTTAATTGAAAACATCTTAGCTGCCTTTAACTTGTCTTAGCACATTAGCACAAAAAGACAGTTTGACTTTCATCTGCTATTTTTTAAATCCTTTGTAATTTTGTGGGACAAACGTGAAATGAATAAAACACAACTTGTCCGAGATTTACCTGTTGTAAAAGAAGCAATTGAATGATCTTTTTATGATTGCTAAATCCAGATGATTTTTGTGATTTAACAGGTGAATCTATTTCACGCATTATTTATAATTACTGTGACATAAAAACTCTCATCTCCGTCATTGCACGATTATTGCATGCTTAGGGAGACATCGATAAAAGGCTATTTAACGCTGTTTCGCTTTTATTACTGACACTTAGCTACCCTGTCATAAAGTACTCTTATCCGCGCCACTTTTCTATTTTACGCCCAAGTAAAAAATCACTCTCCGGAACAGAAAAAAAAAGAACAATACAATCAGCAAAAAATCTGTCCTAATCAGCGAATTTTGCAAGTAGTCAGTTGAAATAATTTTATTTCCTCATTTTTCACTGCAACTCAAAATAACGCTTTGAAATTTATTGCTCCGACTTCTTTATTTTCTTTTATTTGATTTTCCAAATTTTGCGGAAAACAAAACTTATAATTAGTTAGGCTAAGATGGATTTGTCAATTAAAACGCTTCCGAGTGAAGTGCAAAATCCCGCTGAAGCCTACGAAAAACTGAAAGTTCTTGCCAAAATCCAAGAACAGCTACACGAAAAGGATTCAACGGAAGAGCTGTTATTAGCCGAATTCCAAAAACTGAAATCCGAAGAAAATGCTCTCAAAGATTTCTCCGAAGAAATGAAGTTGTTGCAGCATGAAAAAATTGTTCACGTCGAGGAACTGCGACTCATACATAGCGACATAAGCGCAATGGAAAACATTATCAAGACATCTCACATCGAAATGGCGAAATTGGCTTCTAATTCGAAGGATTTATTCGCCAAACATCAAAGATTAGTCGACGAAATATCGAGAGCTGAGAAAACTCTTGGAATCGAGCTTTCAGCTAAGTTGCTCAATTCGAACTTAGAGGAGCATGGAATCACAACGGCCGTTTTTGGGAGCGAACAAACCTCCCGGATGTCAGTTGTTCCTCCAGGTTCTTCCACATTTCCGATAAACGTCTCCACTTCGACTGATGTCGACACCCCGATGTCTGAGGCACCGACTATTAACCTCCCGAATCACGAGACACCTTTCGGCACGGCACAGAGCTTCGATTCTTTTCAGGGCAAACTATTCCCAAGTTCAAACGCAGCCGCCGCTTTGAGCTTGAATTTAGCAGCTACGCAAAACGCGTTTCAAGTTCAATTGGAAAACTTTTTCAAGCAACAACAGCGGAAAATGAGTGGAGCACGCTCATTGGTCAATCCACAACCAATCCCAATGCAGAGTCCGGTGGGAGGAGTTTTTGGAGGGAGGAGCAACATTGCGTCATCGAGCGTACTGGCCAATAACAGTTCAGGGGGTTCGCCTCAACAGATAATTAGACAACATCCAGCACCGATGAAGGCCTGTTTATCGTGTCACCAGCAGATCCACAGAAATGCCCCTATTTGTCCGCTTTGTAAGGCCAAAAGTAGATCTCAGAACCCAAAGAAGCCCAAAAGAAGGCCAGAAGAGCTGTCTTGAACTTGAATCATATTTACTAAATATTGATTTAATCTAGCTGACATCGATGCTTTCGAGATTATTTTTGTACAGTTTTAAGCATATTTTGTCCATTATTATTCTAGATTTAAGACATAAAACTGATTGTTGTTGCATTTATGTATTTTGCGTTGAGAACGGTTTTTGGATTTAGTTAGTGTTAGTTTTGTTAAAAAAACGTATGAATTTGATCGGGTCAGGTCAAAAGATAACCAAAAAAATGGCAAGTAAATGGAAACTATTCATAACAATGCACCAACACTTTGAAACGCCAATTGTTATTTGACTCTCAATGAATGAAACCTCAACCTAAAAAATGCTTCATGACCATTTTTCAAGGATTTTTTGTGATCATTTTAAAAACAACGCACAGTCCTTTAAGCCAGGCTTTCACAATTTCTGCTGTATCAAAAGAATTAAGTTTTTCAAAAACACAACTATCATCATTTTTTGAATCAGAATAGTTTGCAAAAAGAATATCATTTTCGTAGATCGTCATTCTGCACAAATGGTTTGTTATCAGTGGCTAATTTTCATTGATAAGTTCAACATTGCGTAAATCGTAGTTGTTTAAAAAAACGCGGTTAAGCCTGTCCATTTCGGTATGTTTTTGGAAAAACTTGGAAATTAAAGCTTAAGAATCGCATGAAATGAAAAATTTTCTAAATCTGGCCCAAAACGAAGTTTCGAATGTTTACTGGAATAATCGACAAATTTCTGAATCACAAGTCTCCGTGTATTGATCTTAGTAATTTCAGGATTAAAAAGGTCTTCATTTGTGAACTCTGATGGGCTTATAAGTTTCAGTTAATTATAAACCCGGAGATATTTATCTGTGTAAAAAGACTTTTGAGTTCTAGATTTTTTATGAAATCTTAAAACTAAATAAAATAAAATTGTTAATCGGATTAGTTAGCAGTAGTAGCATAATTTACAAATAATTAAATCAAAAATGTTTCAAAAAAGCTGCTATCTCTGTTAACTCAATTTAAAAAACTGTACCAGAGTTTTCGCTTCACCAGGTTGAATTTTCGATATTTCGACAACACGATTAAATAACTCTTAAAAATTATGCGGAGTAAGTTGTAACGGCCCGAATCTCTTGCATGCGAATAAATTTTAATTTAATAGCACCTTGTGTTTTCTGGTAAGACAATGGAAAAAAGTTTGAAAAAAAAGCATATATAATTGGATAAAATAAGGATAAAGTTGGATAAAGTAAAATGAGCTCTGAGTAACAACTTGAACCCTTTTCTAACGTAATCATGCATTCTTTCATTCATTTCGGGCGTATTTCCTATTAACTCTGGTTTAGCTGAAATATCACCACTTCATGGACCTTACAGCGAATTAATTTAAATTAAATATCTCCCTTTATCATTTTTGAGTAATTGAAGTGGGGTTTTTAAAAAATAAAGCACTTTCGCTTGTACAACAAACTGGGAAAATTTCACCTGACGTATGATCGTCAATAAATTTTACAGGAAAAAAAGGGTTATGCGCAAATAAACAAACGCTGACATCCAAAGAAAAATAAGGAATAATTTTTATAGAAATCGAGTTGCTTGAAAGCTTCGGAAAAATTGTTCTAATTACACCTATGAACCTTTAAACTTTGTGTAAACACCTTGGCGTTGTAATAGATAGGAAATTGTCTTTTTTCTATTTTTTTTTAAAATTAGGCCGTCATTGTGGTACTTTTTTTTCAAAAACGTCTCATTTTGCATCAAAATCATGTTTTAAAAACAATTTGCTAGATGTTAAAGCTGCGATTCATTGTGGCTGGCTTGTTTATGATTTTAATTGTTTAATCTCTTTTAATCACTGATGCTTGTTTAATCACTTTTAATTTAGAAACTGATGCTACAATGGAATTCGGTGCAACCGAGAATGTACTTCGCATAAAACTAAGATAATCTGTCTCATATTTGTATCAATAGAAAAATCCTGAACTTTCACGAACGTTAAAATTTTGATCACTGAATTAAAAGCATCTAATCAGCTTTTCTAAATTATTTATTTCCATGGAAACTTTATCCATTATATTACAAGGAAATTTAAGTGTACTACTTTTAAAAATGAACCTTAATCATGTTGAATAACAGATCGAGGTGCAAAACTGATAAGCGAAACAATCTTCGACCCAAACGTAAAGAAAAAATGACAAACTTTGAAAAAAAAACTTTAAGTTTTTTTTCCATACTAGGTAATTGTGATTTGATCCAAGTATATTTCATTGTTTCATACTTAGTTTCGTGAAAACCAAAGCAAAGATGACACTGGAATTTCCTTACAAGGTTACGTTTCTGCACTGAAAAAAAATGCGCTTCCAAATCCCCTTTCATTTTGAGAAATCTCAATTACAAAAAAAAATCAAAATAACACATTTATATATGTGGGGAAAGTTTGAAAAAAAGGTAACCAGTCGTCAGTTGCTACTAAATTTTTTCTCAGCGCTTCGATTCTAGCATAAAATAATGACTCTCATAATCTTCCTAATTTTCGAGAACCCGCAGTTTTTTTTAAAATTGATTAAAAACCATTGTGGATTTTTGCGCTTTCAAAAACAGCAAATGCTGCAAAACCATCCTCAGCTTTCCAATTCCAGACCAAAGCTTTGATCCTCCAGTTTATTGTTCCGACTTTCGATAGGAAAGTAACGGAATATTTGTGCTCGGGGTGGGTTTTTTTTCTTCAGACAAATTTCGACTTTTTAACTAGCCATTTTTGTTAGAATTTTTTTATATCATTCGAAAGCTATTGTTGTCCTGAGCTCAAATTTGAAAAAAAATATTTCACCTGTGATCATTTTCGTAAAGTTATGGGGGTTTAACGATTGCCATTTTGGCCAATTTGGGACAAAAAACGCGCGATAAATTTCGCGCTATTAACGCGTAAGCGGAGAGTTAATCCGTCTTAGAAATCGTTCCAAATTGGTTAAAAGAAGCTTATTTGCCATAATTGGTTTGTTACAAGGAGCAGCGAAATCTATCCTTTTGTACTTTATATGGCGTGTGGGGGAATGATTTTCATTAAAAAATTTCAAATTTTAGAAAAAAAAATTTCATTTTCTTTTATTTCATTGAATTTTTTAATGTTATTACTGCTCCATAAACCTTAAAAGGCAGTCGGGACATTCAGGGCTTCGCCCTGATACAAGCAGTCTTGTTTTGTTTCGAAATGATATTACAGTGTTGATTTAAATTAACCGGAGAAAACGAGCTAAACTTGAAACTTAAAACGCGTTTTTCTCAAATTGGGTTGAGTTTATGTGAAAACTTATGAAGACAAAACTTGCTTACAATTTTAGCAAATTAATATGGTGTTATTTGTTTTGCGAAATTCGGGCCCAAAAATTTATCCCATAAATGGGTCATTTTGGTTTTTCTCAGTTAATCAAAAACTACGCCAAAAAATACCCACTCGATCACAGACATAATTATATCAAAGTAAGCCCCTCACGTAGCCCAACAAGTTTGAACAAGGGTATATTTTTCAAAACATTGTATAAGTTAACTAATTTTTGTTTGATAGACAAAAAGGTCGTTTTTTGCTATAAAAAACACCAACTTTTTTTTTAAAAACAATTTTTAAACGGTTAGCAAATTTTTTTTAGGAGAATATACCATTTTAAAGTTTGTTGGGCTACGTAAGGGGCTTACTTTGATATAATTATGTCTGTGATCGACTGGGTGTTTTTGGCGTAGTTTTTGATTTACTAAGAAAAACCAAAATGACCCATTTTTGGGGTAAATTTTTGAGCCCGAATTTCGCAAAACAAATTTCACCATATTAATTCTGCTAAAATTTTAGGCAAGTTTTGTCTTCATAAGTTCTCACCTAAAATCAACCCAATTTGAGAAAAACGCGTTTTAAATTTCAAGTTTAGCTCGTTTTGTCCGGTTAATTTAAATCAGCACTGTATTTCATTATATTAAAACTGGGTAAACTCTCAATGGGTGTAAATGTACCTTTTGTCTATCCACTCCAAGTGATTTAAATTGTTGGTCTTCTGTGATGTTTCCTTAATTGTGCCCATAAATTTGGAGAACTACATTTTTCTTTCTTTCTTGAGATGAAATGAATACTTTGCTGAAGTCTAAAATACAAGTAATTTCGATAATTAGTTTTTAGCTTTACTGCAACTAGAACTTGAAACTCGGGCTTGTTTTAATCAAAAAAGATATTTATCGATGCTTTTCACATCTGCCTTTCATGCCATCTAAATTAGAAAGCTTTTGCGAATTCATAATTCAAGAGATAAAAATTTAGACGCTCAATTTTTAGTCCCAACTGACGAAAAAAATTTAGTGAATGGAGAAAGCTTATGATTTTTTTGAAGAAGTCTAAGAGTGCAAAACTTTGTAACACTACTCCTTTCTTCAGCGGAACCGAATTATTCAATTTTTTGAATACTGATAAATATCGGCGAGCAGCGTCTCTATGATCAAATTTCGTCAATATGATTCCAGCGGCCCTAGTACCACAGCTGTCTCCGACAACTCATCGAAACGAAGAGATACAGACGATAACGTTTTTTATTCAGTTTTTTCGAGCTGCAATGATATGCAATTGAACACAATATGTCTACAAAAGACATGTAATTTGTATAAATTGTGATTTGAAGCTAGATTTATTAGAACTGAAACACTATTTGTTTAAAAGTTGTAGTATATGACCGGGTAATGTCATTGTGCCTTTTGCAGGATCAAAGCTATTTTATTAAACATGAGTACTGTTTTATTAATTGAGTATTGAGTCTTAACCATGAGTCTATCTAATTAACAACCTTTTTGTTTGAGTTTCCGGCTAAATAGGTTCATTATAGTGTTCTAAAATAGAACGGAAAATTCAAAAAAAAAACGGTCAAAAATTTTTTCGAGCATTTCAAGTATCTGAATTGAAAAACAACACTGATTTTCTTCAGGAAATGTGTTCCTAAATAAAATTTACAAATATTGCTTAAGAATAAAACTTTTACATCGATATTGTTCTGCTAATCTGCAAGAAAAGCACACGCAGAGACTCAACCTCCGTCCGAGTTCAAATGCAAATCAATGCACTCCACTAACATTCAGCTTTTGGTCGAAATACTCCAGAATTAAAATCAGGAATATT